CTGTGTCCCATTATATCCTCCAGAGGTTGTCACTTATTCTCTTGACTCTAGGCTGTGTGTTACACTCCTCTCGTTTCCAGCTCCTTTTGCTTGCGTCAAGAGAGCTGTCAACGATAAACCTCGAACTCTCCCTCCAATCTGTGTCCTCTTGACTCTGACCTTGTTCAGTGTTTTTGTGTTATTTGTCCTTCTCTGCCTTATTTCTGTTGTCTTCCTAAAATTCATAAACGTGATCTCTCTCTGTGTCCCATTATAACCTCCAGAGGTTGTCACTTATTCTCTTGACTCTAGGCTGGCCAAAACTCTTAATCTTTTTCTTGGCACTTCTTCTCCTGCTCACCTCCGTCACACTCAGGATTTCATCGGACATATTCGCCTTCTCTAGATGTTTAAGATACTTAGTTTTGATGTTGTGTCCCTCTTTATGATCTTAATTTTCTCAGAGAGAAGGCCAGTGAAGAGTTATTTCATCTACCTGTACCTACTGATGTCTTTCTTGATCTTATTCACTTTTGTGTGGACTCTTAACTCCTTTTCCTTTCAAGGTAAATTTTATTCTCAAATCTTTGGTGTTGTTACGGGCTTTCCTCTATCCCCTGTTCTTTCTAACCTTTATATGGAATACTTCGAAACTGTTGTTCTTCCCTACTATTGGTGTGCTCCCTTCCCTCTGGCTCTGTTATGTAGAGGACATCTTGATTGAACTTTGTATAGAAAGGGGTTTAGTTATAGGTAATACATATTTTAAGAAAAAGAGGATAAATAAGTATACAAGATATGATGTGGGGGTGAAATGACAGTAGTTTGTTGGATTATGTATTGGTAGATAAAAGAATGTTGAGTAGACTTCAGGATGTACATGTTTATAGAGGGGCCACAGATATATCAGATCACTTTCTAGTTGTAGCTACACTGAGAGTAAAAGGTAGATGGGATACAAGGAGAATAGAAGCATCAGGGAAGAGAGAGGTGAAGGTTTATAAACTAAAAGAGGAGGCAGTTAGGGTAAGATATAAACAGCTATTGGAGGATAGATGGGCTAATGAGAGCATAGGAAATGGGGTCGAAGAGGTATGGGGTAGGTTTAAAAATGTAGTGTTAGAGTGTTCAGCAGAAGTTTGTGGTTACAGGAAAGTGGGTGCAGGAGGGAAGAGGAGCGATTGGTGGAATGATGTGGTGTAAGAGAGTAGTAAGGGAGAAAAAGTTAGCATATGAGAAGTTTTTACAAAGTAGAAGTGATGCAAGGAGGGAAGAGTATATTGAGAAAAGAGAGAGGTTAAGAGAGTGGTGAAGCAATGTAAAAAGAGAGCAAATGAGAGAGTGGTGAGATGTTATCAACAAATTTTGTTGAAAATAAGAAAAAGTTTTGAAGTGAGATTAACAAGTTAAGGAAGCCTAGAGAACAAATGGATTTGTCAATTAAAATAGGAGAGGAGAGTTATTAAATGGAGAGTTAGAGGTATTGGGAAGATGGAGGGAATATTTTGAGGAATTGTTAAATGTTGATGAAGATAGGGAAGCTGTGATTTCGTGTATAGGGCAAGGAGGAATAACATCTGTAGGAGTGAGGAAGAGCCAGTTGTGAGTGTGGGGAAGTTCGTGAGGCAGTAGGTAGAATGAAAGGGGGTAAGGCAGCTGGGATTGATGGAATAAAGATAGAAATGTTAAAAGCAGGTGGGGATATAGTTTTGGAGTGGTTGGTGCAATTATTTAATAAATGTATGGAAGAGGGTAAGGTACCTAGGGATTGGCAGAGAGCGTGCATAGTTCCTTTGTATAAAGGCAAAGGGGACAAAAGAGAGTGCAAAAAATATAGGGGGATAAGTCTGTTGAGTATACCTGGTAAAGTGTATGGTAGAGTTATTATTGAAAAAATTAAGAGTAAGACGGAGAATAGGATAGTAGATGAACAAGGAGGCTTTAGGAAAGGGAGGGGGTGTGTGGACCAGGTGTTTACAGTGAAACGTATAAGTGAACAGTATTTAGATAAGGCTAAAGAGGTCTTTGTGGCATTTATGGATTTGGAAAAGGCGTATGACAGGGTGGATAGGGGGGGCAGTGTGGCAGATGTTGCAGGTGTATGGTGTAGGAGGTAGGTTACTGAAAGCAGTGAAGAGTTTTTACGAGGATAGTGAGGCTCAAGTTAGAGCATGTAGGAAAGAGGGAAATTATTTCCCAGTAAAAGTAGGCCTTAGACAAGGATGTGTGATGTCACCATGGTTGTTTAATATATTTATAGATGGGGTTGTAAGAGAAGTAAATGTGAGGGTCTTGGCAAGAGGCGTGGAGTTAAAAGATAAAGAATCACACATAGTGGGAGTTGTCACAGTTGCTCTTTGCTGATGACACTGTGCTCTTGGGAGATTCTGAAGAGAAGTTGCAGAGATTGGTGGATGAATTTGGTAGGGTGTGCAAAAAGAGAAAATTGAAAGTGAATACAGGAAAGAAAAGTTTTATGAGGATAACAAAAAGATTAGGTGATGAAAGATTGGATATCAGATTGGAGGGAGAGAGTATGGAGGAGGTGAATGTATTCAGATATTTGGGAGTGGACATGTCAGCGGATGGGTCTATGAAAGATGAGGTGAATCATAGAATTGATGAGGGGAAAAGGGTGAGTGGTGCATTTAGGAGTCTGTGGAGACAAAGAACTTTGTCCTTGGAGGCAAAGAGGGGAATGTATGAGAGTATGTTTTACCAACGCTCTTATATGGGTGTGAAGCATGGGTGATGAATGTTGCAGCGAGGAGAAGGCTGGAGGCAGTGGAGATGTCATGTCTGAGGGCAAATGTGTGGTGTGAATATAATGCAGAGAATTCGTAGTTTGGAAGTTAGGAGGAGGTGCGGGATTACCAAAACTGTTGTCCAAAGGGCTGAGGAAGGGTTGTTGAGGTGTTCGGACATGTAGAGAGAATGGAGCGAAACAGAGTGACTTCAAGAGTGTATCAGTCTGTAGTGGAAGGAAGGCGGGGTAGGGGTTGGCCTAGGAAAGGTTGGAGGGAGGGGGTAAAGGAGGTTTTGTGTGCGAGGGGCTTGGACTTCCAGCAGGCATGCGTGAGCGTGTTTGATAGGAGTGAATGGAGACAAATGGTTTTTAATACTTGACGTGCTGTTGGAGCGTGAGCAAAGTAACATTTATGAAGGGGTTCAGGGAAACCGGCAGGCCGGACTTGAGTCCTGGAGATGGGAAGTACAGTGCCTGCACTCTGAAGGAGGGGTGTTAATGTTGCAGTTTAAAAACTGTAGTGTAAAGCACCCTTCCGGCAAGATGGAGTAATGATGGTGAAAGTTTTTCTTTTTGGGCCACCCTGCCTTGGTGGGAATCGGCCAGTGTGATAATAAAAAAAAAAAATAATCTTTGCTCTTTGGTCCCGTAACTCTAGTCTCTTCCAATTCTTTTCTTGATGCCCTTAATATTCTTACTCCTTCCATCAAGTTTAACCCTTTCACTGTTGAGACCCATACTCACAAACTTGCTCTTAGTGTTGAAGAATTTAACAAAAAAAAAAAATTCTTATGAAATGATAGAGAATCTTTTCCTGATTGTAATAACACCAAAAGTAAGAAATTTGATGGAAAATTTATGGAATTACACTCTCACAAAGTTAGTGGTCTCGGCAAGATTAATGCATCGGCGATTTTGCCCAGTTTGAGCCCTGTTTTCAGCCAATTCTGTTGTTCCAGTCGACCAAACTCACAGCTATTTCACTAGAAATCCTTTTGTTCTATCGATTGAGTACAAGAAACCGCCCATTTACCGATTTCAACTACCCAATAAAGTGATCAGAAATTGGTAATTTTGCCAATTTCATATACAATTCAAGGTAGGCCAGTTACAAAATAGCATCCAGAATTAACAATGCAAACATTCCTAGCACTAAAATAACATTTCTCTCTGTTCGTTAGTCACGTCTCCAGGCCTCTCTTATTTTACACTTTGAATTTTTATTCACACAAAAAATAAAAGATGTACTGTTATGCAGACTTCTGCATTATTGTAGAAATGGCATAAATAATATCATCACATATGTGAAAACATATTAGACCCCCCAATTGACGTGTATTGGATGTGTGATATGATTTGTTTACTCTTAAACATCGGCAAATATCATACATTTCTGCTACTTTTGAGCTCAATTTCATGGTACTTTTATTCTGTGAACCATTCAAAATCATCCCTAGTTTTGTAGTATATCTTCCATTCTATCAATTGAGACCAAGAAAATTGGAATACAACCATAAATACCATATGAAAATACACCGCAGAGTCACTGTTTTAAACAAAAAAACACAGTCAGAGTTTTTCTTCTCATGCGCTGCATGCTGCTGGATTTTTTATACTATGCACACTAACGACTCAGACCCATTCTCTCATATGTAGGCCTACCAGCTTTCTCCTGCAAGATTGGAAGCAGGTAAAATTTTGGTGTACTATTTTGGGACCGACACTGGCTCGCAAACCGTAATATTATGGGACCGACAGTGGAAAGGTTAAAGCTGCATGAAAATCTAACTCTTGCTCCCTTTCCTTGATGTACATGTCCACCGCTCAGCTACAGGCTTTTCGTTTTCTGTTTATTGCAAGCCTATGCACAATGGTATGTACACTCTTTACTTTTCTTACCATGCTCCCTCTATTTAGAAGAGTGTTCTCATATAGAAGAGTGTTCTCATTTCTGTCTTTCTACATGCTCTCCACATTTGTGACCCTCAGTTCCTTGAATCAGAAATTTCCACACTTCATAATTTGTTCTTTTATGTTGGTTACCCTTCCAATTTCATAAACTGCCTATCTTACTTGCTAAACAGACTTTCTTTTCTCCCTGTGAAATCTCCTGTTCTCTGCTTTTCCTGTATTTCCAGTCTTTCTAATCTCAACATACAAAAAAATTATAAAGATTACTTGCTTTTGATAATGCAGGCACAGAATCCCTACCAAAGAAATATGTATGTATCATAAATGACATTTGAGGTAATAATAATGTTCATTTTTATTGCAGGTATCACAGCCTTAGAAATGGCAGAATCGCAACCTCCATTGTGTGATATGCACCCCATGCGTGCACTGTTCCTAATTCCTCGTAACCCTCCTCCCCGTTTCAAGAATGGTAAAAAGTGGAGTAAGAAATTTCACTCTTTTATCGACAGTGTATTGGTCAAAGATTATCATCAGGTAAAGTACTTCTGTATATTCTCTCTATAACCTTTCTTTTGATCGTATCCTTTATCCATTTTGAATGTTCACTTTGAATCTTTATTTTTAATACTTAGAATAATTTTTATTTGTTAAGAGTACACAAATATTACTATGTTGAGTTTACAGTTTATTACACTGAAGATTAAATAAAAAAAACAGTGATGTGTACTAAACAAGGAGTAACCTGTTGGTAGATCGTATATGCCAGTAAATACAGTGGACCCTCGACTTACGAAGGCCTCATCTTATGATAAAATCAGCTCACAAAGCTTTTCAGCATAAAATTTTTACCCTGACCTATGATGAAAAACTCTACTTACATCATTTGTCCCATACACGTCCACGCGTCCGTCTGGCCTGAGCGCGCCTCAGCTGGCCTGCCCTCAGTTAGTGTGCCAATGTTTACAGGCCAATGCGGTTGATTCCATGCATACATTCGGTACATCTTGTATTATTCCAGTATTTTTAGTGCTTGTAACTGCTAAATAAGCCACCATGGGCCTAAAGAAAGCTTCTAGTGCTATCCCTGTGGTAAAAAGGGTGAAAATTATTACAGAAATGAAGGAGATAATAAGTATGAAAGTGGAGTTCGTGCCTCTGAGCTGGCCAAGTTGTACAACAAACCCCAATCAACCATCGCTAGTATCCTGGCCAACAAAAGGGCAATCGAGGAAGCTGTTGTTGTGAAAGGTGCAAGTATCTTTTCGAAACACAGATCGCAAGTACTCGAAGATGTTGAGAGACTGTTATTGGTGTGGATAAACGAAAAACAGATATCGGGAGATAGCATCTCTCAAGCGATCATATGTGAAAAGGCAAGGCAGTTGCATGACGATTTAATTAAAAAAATGCCTGCAACTAGTGGTGGTGTGAGTGAATTTAAGGCCAGTAAAGGTTGGTTTGAGAGATTTAAGAATCGTAGTGGCATACATAGTGTGATAAGGCATGGTGAGGCTGCCAGTTCAGACCAAAAAGCGGCTGAAAAATATGTTTAGGAATTCAAGGGGCACATAGAGGCTGAAGGATTGAAACCCCAACAAGTGTTTAATTGTGACGAAACAGGCCTCTTTTGGAAGAAAATGCCAAACAGGACCTACATTACACAGGAGGAAAAAGCACTGCTAGGACACAAGCCTATGAAAGACAGGCTAACCTTAATGTTGTATAGTAATGCTAGTGAGGATTGCAGAGTGAAGCCTCTATTCATGTATCACTCTGAAACTCCAAGTGTGTTCAAGAAAAACAATGTTGTCAAGGCTAATTTGTGTGTGATGTGGAGGGCAAACAGTAAGGCATGGGTTACTAGGGACTTTTTCTATGACTGGTTTTACCATGTGTTTGGCCCCACTGTGAAAAATTATCTCCTGGAAAATAAATTGGAACTTAAGTGCCTCCTGGTATTAGACAATGCTCCTGGTCATCCTCATGACTTGGCAGAGCAAATTTTGCGGGAGTTGAGCTTCATAAAAGTGAAGTTTTTTGCCTCCTTATACCACTCCTCTCCTCCAGCCCATGGACCAGCAGGTCATTTCAGATTTCAAGAAACTGTACACCAAAGGAATGTTTCAAAAGTGCTTTGAAGTGACCTCAGACACTTGATTGACCCTTAGAGAGTTTTGGAAAGATCACTTTAGTATCCTCAGTTGCATGAACCTTATAGGTAAGGCTTAGGAGGGAGTGACTAAGAGGACCTTGAACTCTGCTTGGAGGAAACTGTGGCCAGAATGTGTAGAAGAGAGGGATTTTGAAGGGTTTGGGGCTAACCCTCAGGAGGCTATGCCAGTAGTGGAAGCTGTTGCGCCATTAGGAAGTCCTTGGGGTTGGAGGTTTGTGGTGAGGATGTGGAAGTGTTGGTGCAGAACAATGAGGAAGAACTAACCACTGCAGACCTGCAGAGCTTCAGGTGCAACAGCAACAGATCACATCTCAGGAATGTTCTTCAGAGCAGGATGAAGAGATGGAGGAAGATGACTTCGTCAAGGATTAGGGAAATGTGTTCAGTGTTTACAAAGGTGCAAGCATTTATCGATGAATTTTATCCTGTCACAGAAGTTGCAAGCCACATTGGCAGCATGTACAATGACACTCTTGTCCCCCATTTTAGGGAAATCTTAAGGGGCACGTGAGAAACAGAGCTCTCTGAACAGATATTTTGTGCAACTGGGGTCCAGTGACACTCAAGCTGGTCCTAGTGGCATTAAAAAACCAAGAAGAGAGGTAACCCCACCAAAGAACTTGGTACCTGAAGTCTTTATGGAAGGGGATTCCCCTTCCAAACAAGAGAAAACCTGAATCTCCCCTGCTGCTGGCACATCACTCATCAACAACTCCACAATAAAGGTAAGTGACATTTAATTATTGTTTATTTTGCATGTCCCATTCGTTTTGGTGTAGGGAAATGTATATTTCATGTAAAAAAATTTTTTTGTTTCAGACTTTGAGGTGTCAGGAACTGATTAATTCTAATTCCATTTTTCTTATGGGGAAAATTAATTCGACCAATGGCAAATTCGACTAACGGCAAGCTCTCTGGAATGGATTAATGCCGTTGGTTGAGGGTCCACTGTATACAACATTTAACCCTTTCAGGGTTGGTCCTGTAGTATTGCGGCTTGAGAGCCAGTGTCGGTCCCATAATACTACACCAAAATTCTAGCACTTTCAAATCTAGTGGGAGAAAGCTGGTAGACCTGCATGTGAGAGAATGGGTCTACGTGGTCAGTGTATGCAGTATGAAAAAAATCAGGGCACTCGCATTGCATTGTGGGAGTGGTAATTCAGTGTGCCTTGGTCACCAAGCCAAACAGTAATGAATACCTCACTCCAGCAAATTGGGACTCTTCCCTTCCCAGTTGATAGTTCTAACACAGATTGAAGTGTCAGTGAAGAGGAATCTAATGGTTTTGAGGAGTTTGCGACAAGTAATGCCCAAGATAGCAGAAATAGTGCTGAAAACCCAGACGATTATCAATCTTCCACCAAAAAGGTCAGACAATGTGGCTTATTTGCATGTGGGTGGTGGGGAATGCTTCATGGGTAGTGGGGAAGGGAGTGTCTGTAGTGGGGAAGCCAGCATGGGTTTGTGTAAACAACATAGCAGCATATGTGTAGATTTACCTAGGATAACCCAAAAAAGTCAGAGAAAGTGACATACAGTGGACCCCTGGTTATCGTAATTAATCCGTTCCAGAGCTTGAACTTGAACTTACGACCAGAGCTTTGGTAAGAAGGGTAAGGAAGAAGGATGGGTAAGGATAGAAATATGGAAGTGACTAAAGCCGAATTTGATGATATCCGAATTCATTTTCCCCGTAAGAAATAATGTAAATCCAATTAATCTGTTCCAGACACCCAAAAATATTATAAAATAAGTTTTTTACTTGAAATATTCACTTACCCACACAGAAAACAATGAGACATGAAGAATAAAACAGTAATAACATGACTCTTACCTTTATTTAAGATTCTTCTTAGTGTATGGAAGATGGGAGGAGGGGAGAGGATGGAGGAGTTACTATTGTTTGGAAGGGGAATCCTCTTCCATAAAAGACTTCAGGTACCAAGCCCTTTTCCGGGGTTACTTCCCTTCTTTGTTTTTTAATGCTGCTAGGACCAACTTGAGAGTCACTGCATACCTGTGGCACTAAATATCTGTCCAAAGAGCTCTGTTTCTGGCATCTCTTTAAAATTTCCCTAAAATGGGACAAGACATTGTCATTATACATGTTGCCGACTCGGCTTGCATGAGTTTTATCAGAGTGATGTTCCTCCACAAATCTTGCCATCCTACTCCACATTGCACAAATCTCTATTACTACTACCCTCTTCCACCATCACTGCCACCCTCTACCACCATCACTACCACCCTCTACCACCATCACTGCCACCCTCTACCACTACCACCACCACTTCTGTATTTTTCTACAATCTTTTTCTTTATATCGTGTTTGTCACCTTTACCAAAGGGCTGGGACTAGCTTTCTTTGGGCCCATGGTGGCTTATTTGGCAGTTGCAAGCACTAAAATGAATGGAATATTACACACTATATCGTATGAACCTGTGGGATCATGCTCACTCGCTGATAAACAATGGCACACTGACTGTGGCCACGATGGGGCTGCTCATACGCATTTGGAACAGTCAACTGTTATCAAGGTAAATGACAATCACTGAGCCAGTATTTTGATGAAAAAATGTTACGATTACCGAATATTACAAAATCCTACTACTACGATACCTGGGGGTCTACTGTATTTGCATGTGGGTGGTGGGGAAAGCAGGGTGGTTGTTGGGAAGATGGTGTGTTGGTTGTGTAATGTGTCATTGTGGCACCAGCCACGTTGCTGACTCAGCATATCCACAACAGCAACAATCCACACACAACAAGCTTCCACTAGCTGTAGCAGTTCTAGGAATGTGTCCAGTGGTTTTATGTGTGTATACAGTGGAACCCTGGATTTCGGCTGTATAATCTGTTCCAGAAGGTTGGCGTAGATCTGAAAAGACCGAATACTGAAGTAATATTTCCCATAAGAATTAATGTAAATACAGTCCATACAAAGAAGAATGGTGAAGAACAGGAGGAGTTTGAGGTAATCAATCCCTCAGCTTTGAGTCTATGTGATCAGTCCATCAGTCTTGAAAAGAATACAGCATATATGTGAAAAAGTAGGCATGACCTACTTCCACATATGGATTTGTCAAATGTGATACCACCTACGACTGCTGCACCTCTCCTGCCTACAGTATGTAAGTCACTTCTTCGCACATATGCTGCATTTTTTCAAGATTGATGGACTGATCACATCGAATCAAAGCTGAGGGATTGATTACCTCAAACTCCTGTTCTTCACCCTTCTTCTTTGTATGGACTGATGAAGCCACTGTGTGGTGAAATGTTTCCTTATTAAAGATACCCAAATGTTTCATGTGTCTAATTTATCAACTTGTCGGTTCTCTGAACCATTCGTCTACA